ACCTTCTCAAACCATCTGTATTCAGAGGTTTTGCACCCGTGATGCTCGGCAGAAATGCAGTCAGCACACACCACAGGAAAGCCTTCTGAAGCACTGAGTTCATTGTAAATGGAACCTGCGGAAGAACATGTATAGCAGTGTTATACTTAATCATATAAAATGCACTTGCTCTTCTCATGAAAAACAGAACAAAAGCCCCAATGATGTGATCTTCCTGCTCCTTGTTGAGTCCACACTGGTCATTCATTTATTTTGAAAGTTACAGAGGTTAAGTTTTGCTCAACCGTGTCATTTCCCAGTAGCAAGTCTTAAATTCGCCTGAGACAAGTGCACACTTGGTGCAATGAAAATGACTTGCCAGAAGGTCAAATGTCTCGCTAACCCATGTTTTTGCCTTGACCTTTGAAACAAAAAGGCAGAGAACAAACCAAGAAAACATACCTGATAACTCCGGTCGCTCTCTAGAGTTGACTTCACACTTGAAAAGTGGTGATGTTGAAGTCAGTATTTTTGTGTAGGTCCAAGTTGTGTCCAAATCTTAGTTGGCTAAGGATGAGTATTCAGCTGTGACACTGCTTAATGGTCTGAGTTACACAGCAAAACCTGAGTGCTTTATATACTTTACTGGGGGTGGGAAGGGGCGGGAGTTGTCTTGAGTGACAAGCAGCCACATCCCTGTTCCAAACTAGCCAACAACTTTATGTGCCCTGTCTTAAAATGATAGAATATAACCCCTGAGAGAAATCATCATTCCAGCATTCCTGTAATATCGTTTTTAATTAGATGACACCATTTGTTTTGTTTCCGAATCATTTTCTATATCTCCTGCATTGGTGTGTTCGGAGGGTCAGAGAGGTTTTGAATTGTCGGGTCGAGATTCATTTCCCAGACAAATATGCTTCAGCATCAGCCTTGTAAACATCTGATGATTAACTTCCTGCGAAGCATCTGGAATGCACATCTAATTGGTGATCGAGTTTATTTCAAATGATGTGACTGCATGGGAGATGTTGTCCTTGGGATAATGACTCTGGACGAGCCCTCACACATTCCAGCCACCTACACATTTTGTTAACAAGTTAGGAATGTGGAATTAATGATTTCTATATTCAGTACAGCTAATATGACACCAGGTGCCTTGCCAAAATCATTTGAGAATGGAATATGCCCAAATTTGTAAGTGAAGAGAGAAAAACAGTAGATGGTAATTATTTCTGTTCAAATATTTTCCCCAACCCAAAAATTTGATTGGGTTATTCTCTCTGGATTGTTGCAGGTTCATTTGGCATATTATTCAGTCCATAAATAAACAACAAATTCAATATTTAGATTGTATATACACACATCTGCTGTAGCCCTCAAACCGTATTCACTTTAGCCCTTAATCCTGTAATGGTGGACAAATGTGGGCACAGAGGACTCAGGTGTGATCCTAATCTTTATTTATTATAAATGTTATATCACTGTCTTCGATAAAGTTTTGTCTATCCATTTATGGTGTGTTTTTTTTTTATTTTGGGGGTATTTTTGAATTTATTTCAAAATAAAGTACCATATTTTCTATGTAAATTATGCTTATTTTTATGTTTTATTTTTTAATTTTTTGAACTATATTAAAATATCATTCCAATAAGTTCTTAGACCTAAAACCTAAAGATGAAGTGACTTTGCTGTCACCTGGTGTCTTATTTTGGCTTATTTTAGAATGCTCTAAATTACATTTTTTTTCCCATTCATTTCTATGTGCGCCCATTTTTGACCCAAATACAAGATTAAGGAGTTTTTTTTACACCCACTTAACATTGTAGAATTTAGTCCAAAAAAATTGTGTGTGTTCAGGAGGCAAACTTAGGAAAAGTAGCCAAGTCTTGTACGCTCAGATCAAGGGACGTATTTTTTAAAAAATAAATCTAAATTTTTTTCTCTATGATCAGCAAGACTGATTATTTATTAGATAAAAATACAATAAAAATTATAATTTTGTGTATATTTGAACATATTTTAAAATTGTATCGATGCCAAAGGTGAATTTCCAGCATCATTACTCCAGTCTTCAGTGTCACATGATCCAGAAATCATTTTAATACGCTAATTTGGTGCTCAAGATTATCATCAATGTTGAAAACATTTGTGCTGCTTAATCGTTTTGTGGAAACTGATAGTTTGAGGAACATTTATTTGATATAGACATCTTCATAAATGTCTTTACTGTCTGTCACTTTTGATCGAAAACTGCAAAACAGTGTTACTAGTTGTACACTGTTGCGATCTGTTTGGTTTTTAAATGCACTGTTTGAGCACATTAGACACGATTGAATTGCAAATAGGCTGCGTGACTATGGTAACATTACTTTTAAGTGCCTCATAAGACTGCTGGAAATGTTCCTGCCAAGTGAAGACATGCTCAGGAAAGACAACTTTACTCCTACCAGTTTCCTTTGAGTTAAACAGCACCCAATTCTATATTTAAGCCTGAGTAAAGCCTCTCCCTCTCGTCTTTTTATCGGTAGAAAGTAAAAACACAGTGTCGAAATTTCTCAAAATGTGTTCTGGAAAGATAAAACGCTCCAGCTCAGATGTTTCTGCCAGTCTGACAGCAGAGTAGTTGCTCAATTGCTCTTGGTGTAAGTGACAAACTGAATCAATTTGTGGTTTTCTATAGTACCACACAATCTAAAAGAAAATAGTGAGAGATTGATATGCTGCGTTGACTGGAAGACGCATAATATTGTCACTTTATGAGAGGAATACAGCATACAGAATTAGATTCTTACAGTATTGAACTATTATGTTCATAGTCAACTCCACATGTTTTGATGCAAGTATGACAGCACAGCTGTGATGTGTTTCCTTTTTTTGGTAATAGAGCGATTACCTGATGTTCCTCCTATCTGCTGAATGTGGTTGAAGCAGGTTGAAACCAGACTTTGGTTATACAGTATCAGTGCTTGAGCGACGACTCAAAAAAAACAAAAACACTCAAGGGTGTATTCCAAGCAGATGGGGCAAGTCCCCTAGAGGCATTGTTGTTGCAACATCATCAAGTCAATGAATACAGACAGCCACAAATTATTTTAAGCCTCAGGAAGAGAATCTGCTCCATGAAAATGACACATCCCATCACATCCCCATGTCATGAGTCGTGACATACATGCTCTCGTTTACACTTGCCAAGTAATGCATCGTGAAACCACCGTGACATTTTAAGCAAAATCCCCTCTGTTCTCAGTAAGTTATCTGCTTGACACTTGCTATTGTGTATCCTTTATATATAGGAGTAAGTGGTTCGATGTAATAATGACTGTGCTGGCATCTGCTCATCCGAGTGGTCGGACAGCACATGTTATTTATTTGTTAATAATCTGTGCATCAAATTTAATATAAATCCTCACAGGCTGGTTGTACAATCAGCCGCTGGTGGATGTGCAGTGGATTTGATTCAAAACAAGTGGGTCGTATCTTTTTTACTATCAGCACGTTGCATGGTGTGAATGCTGTAGGCCTATTCATGCTAAGAAATAAATCACAAGCAGATTTAGAAGTGTGGTTATTTCTGCTCTGTTTCATGGAAGCGTTTATGTGGCAGTAGTTCTGTTCGATTTTTTTTTTTTTTTTTTTTTTGTTTTTTTTCCAGAAAGTCATGCACACTATACATTTATTTATTGACTGGTTTATTTTAAACGCGTTTCAGCATAGTTTGAAGCATACACATTGTTAAATGCTTTGATTTTTTGCATAAATTACATATTACATGTTCTCTGGAAAATTGCAATTTTGCTTCTTAAGTGAATGTATATTGTTTTACAGATATTTATATATTTTAATTTGAAAACAAGACAAAAAGAAAAATACTGTTTAAGCAATTGCATTGAAATGGAGCGCAGCAGTGATGATTATGCCAACCTGGAAGTTAGCATCACTCTGGTTCCCTTGACCCCAAAAGTTTGTTCCATTGGCTCTTGGTTTGTTCCTTTGGCTTGCAGAGTTATTGCAGAAAATAAACTCTTTTGCCAACAAAAGGTTATGATTCTGATAATCTACACAAGAACATGTCATCATCACTAAGCTTCTGACAACTGATTGTTTATTTAAAGGTATAGTTCACCCAAAAATGAAAAAAAAAAAAAGGTATGTGGAAGTTAATGACTGTCGTCAACTGTTTGGTTACTGACATATCTTCTTTGGGGTTCAACAGAAAAAAGAAACTCGTACAGGTTTGGAACAACTTGATAGTAAATGATGACAGGATTGAACTATCTCTTTAAAAAAGCATTTTCTCTGAAATATTTAGTTAGAACAATTTTCAAGAGCATGATTATAAGCACAACAAGGCTGTGAAAGCAGACTAGAATGAGTGTCTCTGTATGGTTTGATGATGTTTAATGTCTTTGACAACCTCTGTAGTCCCATTCAGCCACTTTTTTTTTTTTGCAAAGTAAAGCTTTAAAAAAATCACAGGGGGTATTACTGATATGCGTTTTATATTGTAGAATAAAACGTGAAAATATCATCAGCTTGTGTTAACCACAGACCTTATTTCAAGCATTTATTTTTTAACTAAAAACCAATTGATTTTGGGACCGTAGAACCAGAAGTGCTAAAATGCTAATTCGTATCCACGTTTTTTGGCTTACAAAAATACATCATCCCAGCAGTACTCTTGTGTAATGTTTTTCTCTTTTAGCACAATGCTTCATATATGCCACAAGGTACACCATAAAGACTGCTGCTTTATCGGTTTGCGACAGTGTAGTGCAGTTGTATTTGAAGGTTATAGTCAGTCAAATTTTCATGGAAGTATGGCATACTTAACCAAAACCTAAATGTTTTCACATGTTTAAGATCCAAGCATGCCCTAATAAACACATCAAATAACTTCCCGGCACCTAGGGAAAACAAGCTTTCCGAAGCGTACACAAACTAACTGTGGTATACGTGGTGTAACTATGGATGATTCAACCCTTTTATTTCAGTTAAAAACAGCAAAGGGCATTTCAGATAATTAACCAGCAGTAGCTTTCCGGGAACCATCACCTGAAATAGGTGAGTGACTTTCAGAGGAATGAATTTCTTAACTCAAGCTGTTTAAGAAACTTTAAAGTCTATAAATGTTACATTCATTATTTAAGTTTGGCTGTTCGTGCAGTTAATAATCCTTATATATTCTCTGTTTTGTGTTTGAGTCACATCATCTATTCAATTCGAAAGCATTTTTGCTCTCTGGAACCACTTACATCTAATCTTCCGTGGCATATCTTTAGCTATTATTGTCTGGATTTTTTATTACTCACAGTTGCTGGTATTGCACAGTTTTGATTGGTCGGTCATTGTGCCTAATCTGATTTTAAAGACGCTGTGGATCGCTTATGTGTCTAGCAGAATGTGAAATGAAGTATTGGGCTTTGGAACAAATACCTGAAGTAATGATTCTTGGCAATATAAACATGATCCCCAGGTGGTCATCCATCCGTTCTTGTCACAGTCATTTTCTGCTGTGCTGTCTTGCTCGTGTTCTTTCGTGCATAGCTGTTTTAGTGCTCATTTGTTGGCATTTGTGACATTATATCATTGTCATGCAGTTTTGTTTTTCTAATTTACCAAAGGAGTTTGTTTCAAGGGTGGGCAAAATGTGTTAGATTATGTTATGGCTATATCTATATGGCTATATTATTTTATCATTAAAGAACCATAGGTTTTATTCCCTTAATAGTACAAGGAACATTTTTGTTTGTTGGTTTGCTTGAATTGTTCATTGTTTTGAAACAAGTAAATGTTTATATTGTTTTTGTTTACCAGCATTCTCTTAGTCCAGAGGTCCACCTTTTAGTGCCCAGAGTTAATAAGTGGCAAAGAAATGCCTGTAATGTATGCCAGTAGAGTTGTGGAGCGGAGATACCGGCATGGAAAACTCCACTGTAAACTGATGTGCTGTATACTAAATAATGTAGTAGATATGCTTGCAAAGACAAGAAATTAAAAAGGGGCCCACACTTTTAATATCCAGGATTCTGGGCTCTTTTGGCTTTGTGCAGTAAGAACCACTCAAACATTGGCATTGGCCAAGCACCACCCACATTTTCTTCAGAATTAATATTTTCTACTTGAAAATACACATGTACACTACCATTCAAAAATTTGAGCTCCGTAATTTTTGTTAAATAAACAAAAAACACTGTAAAGACGTATATAAAGTTACATAAGATTGCTTTCAAATAAAAGCTGAACATCTTGAATCTTGAAAATCGCATCACGGTTTACACAAAAATATTAAGCGGCACAATGTTGGAACAATGATAAAAAAAAATAAGCACCAAATCGGCATATTAAAATGATTTCTGTAGGATTTCTGAACACCAAAGACTGGAGTAATGATGCTGAAAATTCAGCTTTGCCATCACAGGAGTAAAACAGCTATTTAAAACTAACTGATTAAATAAATTTAGCTACAGTAAGCATAAGAGAATTTATGCACACACAAACTTTTGAACAGTATTATTTTTGTGAGTTCTTATTGGTTATGGCTCACTGGACAGGTCTGTTTAGTGATGTTGATATTGCTTTGTTGTAAATAATTGTTGGCGTTGAAGTGAGTGTATCTGTAGGTGAACGTAAAATAATCTAAAAAATATACTTGGTGAAAATAATCTACAATAACAAAAAGTCCTGCATGAGTCTATCCTCATTGCGTTACGGACGTTACAGTGTCTTTTATCGTTTTAAATACAAATTATTAAGTAAAAACAAACTAATTTACAATACTGAGTTAAGTCTACTTGCTACTAATTTCTTAATTTAGTCAGAAATTAAGTTAATTCATTGAAGACCATTTAGTAAACTTACGAGTTTTAAGATGTGAAATTTTTGTGAGGCAAAATTATTGTGACCTGCTTTCAAAGTACCATACATTTTTTTTTTCCATTGCATTTTTGGAAACTGAGTGAATGATTGTATGAGTGATGACACATGCTCCTCTTTATGTAATCGTAATATTGTAGCCAGACTTTGTGTTGGTAATCAGGACACATAATCCAGATATTTTTACTTGTCTAACCAGAGCACGCCATCTAATTTTGTTTTTGGGGCAACGTCTTGTTAGGTAATGTGGAGTTTAGTTCTTTTATTCTTGGCTTGTTATCTGCTTTGTTGTATCATGTCTAACTTTGCCTAGTGTGAATCACACTATACTTTAATATTGCTTATGTAATCTTTATACTAAAGAATCTTTGGACAAAATGAAACTGCTCAGGAATCCTTTCATTTTCAGGCTTTCTTGGAGATCCATTTTAAGGTTTTCCACACATCTTATTACCATCAGTACATTCAAGAGAAAGTTACAACACGATTCTATCAATATCAGATATGGAGTTTTTCCTTTCAATTAATTCACTTTTTTTAGGTAAATTGTTAAATCCTTTAACTATGAATGTTCAAGACGTAATCTGAGACAGAATCCCTAACATTAAGGGTTATTCTGGGGTTACGTATATTCTAATCTTAATAATGATAAAATGGCAACACTTTACAAAAAGGGTCCATTTGTTAACCACATTAGTTAGTTCATTAGTGAACTAACAATGAGATATACGTCTAGAGCATATCAATCTTAGTGAAAAAAATCTCTGTATAATATCAATCTTTAAATGCAAGATATTTCAAGTGTACCTAAGCACTTTAGCACAATCAGGACCTCAGCACTACTTCTGGATAACTAATTAAGTACAAAATTAGTTGTTCCAATTTAGCAGACTTTAAGTGTGCCAATTTAGTATACCAAAAGTATTGTACAATTTAAATATTATAAATCATCAAGAGTTTTTATTCAATATCCAATTCAATATTTATTTAACACCAGAAGGACTTATGCCTCAAATATTTCCAGTAAAAGCACTGCTGGTAACTGTTATGGGACAGGACAGTTCGGTAAAGATTGTATTGCACCTTGTGAATGACCCTTCATCCGTAAAAAGGGCAGTATATGTTTTGAGCACAAAAGTCAGAATGGATTTGCTGATGTTATGCTATCTGTGTTTTTTCCTTGAAGTTTAAAATAAACTTCCTGAGAACATACACTCACCGGCCACTTTATTAGGTACACCTGTCCAACTGCTCGTTAACACTTAATTTCTAAGCAGCCAATCACATGGCGGCAACTCAGTGCATTTAGGCATGTAGACATGGTCAAGACAATCTCCTGCAGTTCAAACCGAGCATCAGTATGGGGAAGAAAGGTGATTTGAGTGACTTTGAACGTGGCATGATTGTTGGTGCCAGAAGGGCTGGTCTGAGTATTTCAGAAACTGCTAATCTACTGGGATTTTCATGCACAACCATCTCTAGGGTTTACAGAGAATGGTCCGAAAAAGAAAAAACATCCAGTGAGCGGCAGTTCTGTGGGCGGAAATACCTTGTTGATGCCAGAGGTCAGAGGAGAATGGCCAGACTGGTTCGAGCTGATAGAAGGGCAACAGTGACTCAAATAACCACCCGTTACAACCAAGGTGGGCAGAAGAGCATCTCTGAACGCACAGTACGTCGAACTTTGAGGCAGATGGGCTACAGCAGCAGAAGACCACACCGGGTGCCACTCCTTTCAGCTAAGAACAGGAAACTGAGGCTACAATTTGCACAAGCTCATCGAAATTGGACAATAGAAGATTGGAAAAACGTTGCCTGGTCTGATGAGTCTCGATTTCTGCTGCGACATTCGGATGGTAGGGTCAGAATTTGGCGTCTACAACATGAAAGCATGGATCTATCCTGCCTTGTATCAACAGTTCAGGCTGGTGGTGGTGGTGTCATGGTGTGGGGAATATTTTCTTGGCACTCTTTGGGCCCCTTGGTACCAATTGAGCATCGTTGCAACGCCACAGCCTACCTGAGTATTGTTGCTGACCATGTCCATCCCTTTATGACCACAATGTACCCAACTTCTGATGGCTACTTTCAGCAGGATAATGCGCCATGTCATAAAGCTGGAATCATCTCAGACTGGTTTCTTGAACATGACAATGAGTTCGCTGTACTCAAATGGCCTCCACAGTCACCAGATCTCAATCCAATAGAGCATCTTTGGGATGTGGTGGAACGGGAGATTCGCATCATGGATGTGCAGCCGACAAATCTGCGGCAACTGTGTGATGCCATCATGTCAATATGGACCAAACTCCCTGAGGAATGCTTCCAGCACCTTGTTGAATCTATGCCACGAAGAATTGAGGCAGTTCTGAAGGCAAAAGGGGGTCCAACCCGTTACTAGCATGGGGTACCTAATAAAGTGGCCGGTGAGTGTATAAGCACTGTACACACACATGTATAATGTTTAAACAAGTGTCACATGTTCCCTGGAGCTTTAGAAACGTTGTTCAGGCGTTCTGTGACAATGTGTGTTGGATCTTTAAGGATTTCAGTAACATGTTTAAAATGTAAAGCTATTTGCTTCTAATTGCAACAACAAAAAAATCTTCCTGGAATGCGAAAAATTTCGCCTTAAATCTGTTCGTACATTCCTAACTTCTGACTATGAAATATGAATTAGGCCCCACAGAGAACATCTGACTGTCCATCTGCAAAGGGGTCACGCTGGACGTCCCGCACGGTCCAGGCAGGGACAGCTTCATCAGAGCTTCTCAGCAAAACAGATGGAGATGAATTGAGTTACGAAATGTCATTCTTTCTGACATATGGTACACTATAAAAAAAAAAAAGATCAATACGTTATGACAACAACAAAAAAATCAACATTCTTTTTTGTTTGATTGTTTAATGTGATTTAAACTGAAATTATTATATAAATATCCAAGTTGATAGTACTTATTGACCTATTGCCCCTGCCAATCCATCACGTGACTAAAACAAACACATTAGGTGATCAGATACTGGTCTGTTTACCTCTCATCTTGAATTTACGAGTACCCCCGCTATGGTTCATTTGTCCATAAAATGTTGGATTAAAGCATGTATGGGCTGTTGCCATAGATTCTTGTTTGTTGAAAACAAATGATTGATGTTTGGCTTGACCCGTGTAGTTTAAAATGTGAAGATGAGACATTATTTTTAGCACTTCATAATCTGCTTTTTGTTAACTGTCCCTTTACTATTCCTCATTCTTAATCTGTGACCGCATTCCCTGTTCACATCTTGATTTAATCCAATTCTTCCCTTTATTTATGATCCGTGACTGAATTTGCTCCTCCAGATGAATTTTGACTCAGCACTTCAGAATTTCTGCCTGTTTATTTAGCGCACGTAAACCACGGTCACTCTGGGATTATGTTTGTTTTTCAGCGTCAAAAGGTCAGGCTGTTTACGTGTCTGTACAATAAGAATTATTCAAAACAGGTTTTTTTTTTAAATTACATCCTGATTTTTAAACCTGATGCTGATTTTTTTGAAAGAGAAAAATGAAAGAATAGCCAAAGCTTGATGGTTTACAAACATTAAATCATGTTTTAGTGTTGGAAAGCCTCATCGTATACACAAATGAAAGTATTTAATATGAATTTAAACAACACTGGATCTTTTATTTATACTTTTATTGTAAAAATGTTACAAAAAAAAGTGAATGGTAATAGTAAATGATGACAGAATGTTCTCTTTAAGTGATTGCCCTTAAAAAAACATCCCCGTCCAATGAGAAACCACATCCAATGAGAAACAATCATGTGTTTTTGAGACTGCATGAATTTGCATCATTGTTAATTTTAATCAAATATGGACATATAATTGGACAACATTTGTGGTTCTCCCTTCATCCATCGTCAAATCCGCCAGGCTTTGAAACCCTGACACTTTGAAACTTTTGAGTTTATAGAGTCAGGTGGGGTCATCTTGTAATTAAAAGGCTGCATTGCACATGTACGTTTGAAATGCAAAACATGTGCTTAGTGGCTATTTTTCAGTCATTACACTAATATGCTATGATTGCTTTGAAATGCAACATAGCTGTAGATGCATCTTGTTTATCTCTCAGATATGATTTGGCTGAAATGATACAGCAGATACTGTTAGAACATGTGTGTCCAATCAGAATTACCTCTTGTGCATGGAATGTGTGGCATTTATAGTGACTCTGGTGTCAGAAGTCAAATGAATGGCAAGCTGCAGCGCAGAATGTATTTAACTCTTAAAGAACACTTTCAGATGCATAATGTGCATACAGTTGTTTTTACAGCAGTTATTTTCTGCTTAAAGAATTTTTTCCTGTTCAGTGCAAGTCAATAGACTGCATTTGTGGCATTATGGTGATTACCACAAACATTTAATAAAAAATAAAAAAAGCACAAATCCGGGTTAAAGGGAACATTTCCAATATATATCCACAAGATGTTAAATAATGTGTTCAAATATTAATTCACCCAAAAATTATCCCATAATCCGTCCTTTCTTCTTTCAGCCAAACACAATTGGAGTTAAATTGAAAAATATTCTGGCAAGCTTTATAATGGGAGTGAATGGTACCATGCGTTGGGTCAGAGGTAACTCTTCTGCCAGAACTCGACTTGCGTACGGCCCTTATACTGGAAGCCAGTGTTTTATAAAGAAAAAATATATATTTTTCTTACAAAAATGCATTGCTTTGCTTCAAAGGCCTTTTTTTAAAAGAGCCGATTACTTTTATGATGGATGGATGTGCTTTTTGGAACTTTAAAATCTAATGTTTTACCATTCACTACCATTATAAAGCTTGGAATAGCAAGGATATTTTTTAATATAACCCTGATTGTGTTTGGCTGAAAGAAGAAAGTCAAATACACCTAGGGAGTGAGTAAATTATGGGATATTTTTTTAAATTTTTTGGTGAACTAACCCTTTAACATGATGATAAGAAGTACCTTTCTAGGGGGATGAAAGCACACTTCGACCGCTAAAGCAAATGTTGACCAGTTATTTTGAAGGTGCAGCAAACTCATTGGCTGCTGACGATACAGAAGGAACCAAGCAGATTGAGTTAAGGACCTATCAGGATTGAGCTTAACTTGTATTCAACCTGACTTGGAAATATAAATGGATTGATTGTTTGCTTGTTTTATACTACACTTTTTATTTTTAATATAAAGTACTGACCATGATCTTTTTCGGCATGGAAAAAATCTTTGTGTTGACTCAACATTTTGTACCGTTTTGTTGCTGTGAATACAAGACATCCATCAGAGTGTTTATCAGTAGATCTGCAGAGCATAAGTGGGAGCAGCCTATAGCCTGCAGCACTGAGACTGTTTCCTTATGAGCTCCTCGTGGATGAAGGGGGGTCTGTAGGCTCGTGCCATTTTCTGACACCGTGCCAGAGATAAGCACCGCTTTATTGGAGTTAGTGCGAGGAGACGGGGGACCTCTTAACTGCTTCATTCCTGATGTCTCCAGCCACGCAAACTGTGACTGCGATGTCACTACATCATCTCTGAAGCATCTGTGCACTTTTGGGGGTAAATTGAGCTATAAAAATAGAGAACAGATTATTATATTGATATGCCGAAGTTTCTGAGTCTGCAAGTAGGCCTATATGTTTGCCTGCGACAGTATTATTTCCTGGCATATAATACTGTTTGTGAATTTTACATTAGCCTAACTAAGATCAACCCTTAAGCACACCTCGGGTCTTTAGTGACCTTTGACATCATTCACTACCCCTCCTCTTCATTCATTTTTTTTTAGTTCAGAATTTTATTCAGTTTAATTCAGTTTAAGTTTTATAAGCTAAATGCCTTGCTCTGTTCTGTAATGCACGTTCGTGACTCTCCTGTTCGAACTCGTTTATCAAAATGAACAAATCTTTTTTCGTGTCATTTGTTTCATTCAGCGAAGGAAATGAACGAATTGACTCGGGAAAAGATTTTGATGAACATGAGCAACATTTTTTTTTTTAAAGCGAACTACTCCTTTAAATTACTTTATTATTTCATTTCTAAAGGGTTTAGTCCAACTCCAAGTAGGAGGGGCTTGAACTTTTCAAGATGGCCTCTCAGAGTTGGTTGTAAGCTAGTTATTGCTGTGTTTTGGGTCAATTTAATGGCATAGCCAAAAGGTTGTTTGCTTATAGATTTTGAAACAGTTCATTTATCTGTTGCCTTTTTTTGGCTTTTCATTGTAAATACCATTTGCACTCCTTTGGAAAACCTTTATTTTTGCCTTTCTTGGAATAAACACTGAACTTTTGACCTCATTATCACGTCACTTTGTTTTTACACCTCCACCTGCCGATACTTTCTGCAGAACGGTGGTGCTGATACTGTTCAAAACACCTTTGGGGCCCTTTTGTTGCAGTTGACACACCTCTGTCTCCAGGCTCCCACTATGTTTCCATAGTTACACCCTAACACACGCACAGACAAACAGTGACGGGAACACAAGCTGAAACCGAAACACCTGCACACCCATCTGTATTTGTGTGTATCATATTACCCCGTGATTTCTAGATCTGAGCTGCAACAAAATCCAACTATCTGTGTATTCTCAATGTAGCAACAGTAACAAGAAAAACATCCTGACAAATACTGTCAGCACTAACTGGCTCATCTGCTGATGAATACAATGAAATGTGATAAATATAGCCTATGACACTTGCGATCATTCCATATTTTATAGGGTCCGACTAATAAATGGGGGCACAGCTGTGAACGGCAACAGACAGACGTGGGACAGTTGGAACATCTGACACCTCAATAGGATACCCTCTGGTTTTAATTTGACCTTCATTCCAGCGGGTCCAAAGGGTATCGTAAAGACAATTTCTATTTTGCCAGCAATAGTACGAAGAATGTTATCTGTCTGTTGAGTGGTCTCTGGATGCGTCATATTGTAGTAATGATTAAACGCACTGTCATCTTCAATTCTGCTCTTTTACAGTTATGTGGCTGGATTTTGAGTAAATAGCTAAGCAGGATCTTTTTTCAACCGGTAGATGATTTTTCCTGATACCTCTGGGGTATTTTGAACTGTTTTTTCAGTAATAAGTCAAGAGTCATGTGAGTTTTTAAGTGATAAATCCTCCACATTATATATGGTATATGTGTTGTGACTATTCCCATGAAAAGCCATTCAAATATTGCAAAAGAGTTTCAGTCACATGAAGGACTAGTTATGAGCAGTCCGTATAAAAGCAGCACGCAAGGTTCATGACGATACATTGAACACTAAGCAGGAAACGTTTGAGAACGGGAGAGTTATCAGTGGAAAAAGATAAATGTTATGTTAGTACGGATGCCAATCATGTGCCATGTTTTGTAAGATGGAGCGGTTGTCATCCTTCTAATGTTTGTTAAACATTCTCAGAGCCAGATCATTTAATTCACAACAGTCTTCCGTAATCTCAAAAATAATTACTTCACCCCCCACGGCCCACAAGATAATTGCATTTGATTTACGTTCGTTTAAAATGGAATATGAAAAACAAAACTGGAATCTAAGAAAAACCGCTGTGCCTGTATGTTTTGTGTGTGTGTATTTCAGGAATGTAAATGTTTGATAGAACAGGGGCCAATATGGGGACAACAGATGAGCATTTTCTTCTTCTTGCATATTATCTCTAACTCAGTGGGGTCAAAAAATAATGAGAGAGGGAAATAAATAGAAAGTCAACCGATTTTAAACAAAGAGATGTTGAGACATAAAGTTAAGAGAAAATTTGCTCTTAGCTCAGATTTGTGACCTTGATTATGTGAATTTGTTCAAAAGATCAGATTAATTAACACTTAAAGCCTTTATAAATATAAAGCATTATAAAAGCCTTTTTAATGCATTAATCATGCCTTGGAATGAACCTTATAATAATTGTACCACAGTTACAATTAATTACTGTTAATTGTTACACCTTTAGAAAGTATAATGCATTAAAACACTTAACAAACAACCAATTTCAGATTTAACAAGGAATCTGCAAAAATGATAATGCATTTTAACTTTGTGTGCAATTATTTATGAGATATAATGCATTATCACTTTAAGTTGGGGAAAGTTACTTTTATAAGTAATGCATTACAAAATTGTGTTTGTCTTACTTTTTAAGGTGCGTTACTTATTCTCATCTGGGCTTTGAATTGGATCATCGAAGGTCGGCAGCAAATTATTTAACATATTTAATTATTGCAGGTTTGTGTAATATTCTGAGTGTGCATATCATCTTTTTATTCATTCTGAGGAATACTGAATCTGTTCTTGTGAAAGTCAGATGATAAAATGCATGATCACGTTTAGTCTAGAAAATAGCCATCATATCTACACACAACGCCTCCTGATTTCTCTCAACATTGGGACAGGAGAGGTGTCAGTCAATAAATGGGTCTTATATATTAAATATTTAATATATATTTATATTACTTATTAAATATTTTGTTGTAAATTTAAAAGTAATGTGTGATAGTTACTTGAAAAAAGTCATTTGATTACATAAGTCATGTTACTTGTAATTTGTTACACCCAACACTGATTATAACGTATTATGCATTGTTCATGCAGGTTTTAAGTGTAGTGCTACCTAAGTTCCTTTGCTTTACAACATTTCTGCTGGTTGCCATGTAATTACCATAATTACAAAAAAAAAAAAAAAAAAAAGAAAAGTTGCCTTGAGACCTGTCAGGTTTCAGCACGAATAGCAATGATGTCACTGCTGATGATTCAGAGATGCTGTGTTTGGCTGAGTGGGGTGTGAATGAACTATGTGTGCCAAATATTTTAGCATGATGCATCATTATGGCTAAAAAAAAAAAAAGTAAACAGGACATTCAGATTAATTTGGATGCATTTTAGGGTCTTTTTTTTCCAGCTGTCTCCATCCAAAAGTTCAAATAGGCCATCCACTTGCTTTGCTTCTGACCCCTGCAAATATTTCCCAAAATCAGTCCAAGCTTCATTGCAACATGGAAAATAAAAGAATAAATCACATTGCCAAACTCTTTGAACCTGTGAGGCCACAGACACATTTTTCCTATTTAGAGCCTCTCTCGAAGTCTCTCTGCATCCACGGCACAGCATCCATTCCAAGAGTGTGTGTGCACACGGCAGTGTTGCGTGTTGACTGTTGTGTTCCTTGCTATTTCCTCCCATCAGACCACAGGCTTTTTTTTCCCCCTCATTTGATTAATGCTGAGTTAATGACCCCCCATAGACCAGAGAACCAGGCAAAAAATGTTAAGCATCTTAAACCGTTGCAGCTTGTTTGCTCAAACTGTTTATGGGGCACAAGGACATGCTATAAACATAGAGTAAAGAGCAAGCAATGGAAAAGATTATGTGCGCTGTGGAATGCACTAGAAAGTCCTTCGCTTTGTGTCAGGGGAGATGTTTCATATGTTATTGAATTATTGTTTGGCGCCCCAGGATGATGTGGGTGCAATAGATACGTTTTTTTATTCTTCATGAGAATAGAGAGTAGAATAGAATAGAGAGAAAAGGTTCTAAAAAAGGTTCTATATAGAACCTTAAATGGTTCTATCAGCACTACGTATTTGGAACCCCTATACAGAACTGTTTTTAAGGGTTCAATAATATCTTTGTAACCAGGAAAATATAGGTTCTATATGGAACCATTTGGGTTCATTCATCATCATTTGTTTTGTCCTTTCCAGATTAAATATTTCATATTATTAACAAACATCAAGACCCTAAAATGTATTTATGAATGCATGTGAATGATCACAAAATTCATAATATGGAGGTTAGAAAATGTATATATTTATATCATTTTATGTAGTCAATCAATATCACACGAAGAGTGCCATTTCAGTTTTTCTCCTCCAAAAATCATCATGATTAAAATGTGAAATTAAGTTACAACAGTTTAATAAACAATAATTTAATTACAACTTCAAAATGTTGCAGAATAATGTAATATATGAATGAATAATAGCCTATAAATAACCTTCTTTTTTGTCATTATAGAACCTTTTTTAGCATAAAAGGTTCTTTGGAGTTGAGTAAAGAACCCTATATGCTTCATAACCCCAATGAACCCTTTTTTCTAATAGAATAGAATAGAATAGAAATTTAACACATGATGGAATGTATAGCAACAAGGGAGGATGTATTGTATAAGTTATCTGACTCGTTTGAATGTATAATACTGTCTGTTTCTGATTATACTAAGAATATGTGGGGATCCAGAATTCCATCAGAAAGTTAAAGGTGTTTATGTTAAAGATTGTGTAAGTTCTCCACCTCAAGAAAATAATGCCATATTTGTGGGATATGGGAAAGATGTCAGTTTCGCCTCCTTGATCATTACATTTCTGCGGACAATGTGTTTATTAAAAGGTAGAAAAAGGTCAGTTGTTTTGCATGGTAAAATACATGTCATAGAAAATTGTTCAAAGTCTAAAAATATATATACCATACATAATTGTGAATTGGCAGTATTTCATTATTTGGCTAAAGATAATTATTAAATGGAGCATATTTTCCAAAATGGTAGCGATGGGGTAAAGTTAAGGCAGTGCATTTTTTTCAGTTAGTGCAACTCAACATGCTTTTGTTTCAGACATCTGTGATTATTCCATGAAAGTTTGTCATATCATGCTAGTGTAAGCTGTGCCAGTAGCTCTAAATGCATACATTTGCAAATAGAAGTATTATTAAAGAGTTGTAAAATTGCTTGATTACATTCATTTTGTGTGTCATATTTCTTTTGCCTTGTCCTTATATTAATTTGAAATAAATTAAATAAAAACTAACACAGCTTACTTTTGCCCTAAAGAATAGATAAAGTCGACGCATTCACTAAAGCGAAGTGGTGTTTTGATCAACCCAAACTAAGGAAGACAACTTTACAACTGACAATATCTGTTAACTTTAATCGAGTGACTGAGATACTGTACAAACATGCCCTCATGATTGAACTCTGGTTTTGAAGGACTCGTTGAAGATGGCACGTACACTGGGCTGTGCTGAAAGACAACATTAAGGTTGAGGTTGTAAGGATATGTTTGATCATGTCCAGCTGAATGCTATTTAGAAACTGTGTGCAGGGGGGGGCACAAAAAGACAAACCGAAAGTTCACACTTAAAAGCATTTTTAAAAGAACCATCTGTGTTTGAACCTAACCAAAACATTGATCTGTATTTCAAGTTTCTAAATGCCATAAAAATTTAAGTTGAATGAACTTTATCTCTGCCTGTGGACTTGTCTGCACCAAGATTCGTTCTTTTTTTTTTTTTTTTTTTTTTTTTTGCTGGATTGGCTCCTGTCATCTTGTAAGGTAGCACATTGTGTCATGTTTAACCGGTGCCGTTTATCGCCGCAGGGCTGGATCTTTTCTTTGTTTATAAGTGGCGACTGAGCATGTTCTTAAGCCAAGTTTCATGGAAAACGCACCGCTCAGGGGCAAATCATGAACGAAGAGGGGGAGAGGGCAGGTTAATTTGGAGATAAGAGATGAGCAGAGTGTGAATGTGCTCGGGGAGGAGGAGAGGAAGCACCTGGCGATCACTGCGGTGAACAGCTGACAGGGTCAAGGTGAAGTTCAGAAGAAGAGATGTCCCTTCACCTGATTATGAGAATAGCCTTCAATTTCCCTCTCCCAGTCAACCCAAAAATAAGTTCTCACACACATTTTCCAGTCAGTTGGAAGCATTCATTCTATTATTAGGCGTATATACTATAGACTGTAAAAATGTTTGGGTTCGGTAAGATTTTTTCTGAAAGAGTTCTCAGCTATGTTCCCTAAAACTGCATTTATTTGATCAAAATACAGTAAAATGTTAAGATTAACATGCAGTAATT